GGGCCTGCTACATATGTAAATTAAAGCTTAATAGTGACCAGCAATAAAATTAGTACACATTTTTAAGGTCTAGCTTTATAGTTGGTTGGTGCATTTTATTGTATGATAGCTAATTGGCACATTTAGCTGGTGTCCAGTTAATTGTGCAAAACCTATAACACATAGAGGGGGTCAAAGTAACATTTTTTTAAAAGCTTAAGTGACTAAAAATAATGTAATAAGGAAACGTCAACCCATTTTTCTAAGAACTAAGACTACTATAATATTGCCAAAAAGTAATGAGACTAACCTCAAGCTATTGTGAAAATGATATTGTTTTTAACTTGCGTTCTGTCTTTTGGTCCCTTGGAGTTTTTATTCAAACAACTATCAGGACTAGGACCTTAATTTTTAATGGAAGAGGAGATTTTTGTGAAACCATGTGACTGCAGGAGCTGGGGCTTAAGGAAACCCAACAAATACTGTGAAAATGGCTGCACTACCATTCTTCCTCAATCAGATCTGTGTGTCATAATCCATAGCCTATGTTTAAGAACAGTCCCCAATTTCCTGCAGAGCACAGGGCTTTGCTTTGCATTTTAATTTTCTGGATAAAGAGAACTGTGTGTTTTTTTGCTAAGCCAGACAGATATTGGTTGAGGTGACTGTTTTGAAAATTAATTTCAGGAATTTTAAGGATAGAATCTTTAGAATCCCATTCTTGTAACTCAGTCTCTAGCTCAAATAACATTTTCTTCCATGCTATATAAAGCATGGTTATCGGAGTAGCAGATTATAAAGGAGATACTGAGAAGCAGCACATGCATGTTTATACATGTCCAGGTACCCTTGAACTATGAACACTTCACTGGCACTGCACAGGATGAATCATATAATAAGATAAGGCTACTTCATAACTCCATGTTATTCAGAATGTTACAGACTTGATGCTGCATGAGAGGTACCATGAAGCATACAGTGTGGGTGCAGGCTTCAATCCCTGTAGAGTCCAGCAACTAGTGGGAAAGCAGAGCAGAACACAAGCCTACAGATCATAAGTCACTCCTTTCAACAGCCCTTCATGGCCAAAGAACAAAACTCCTCACAAACATTAATTACTTATCTGGAGAATACCCTGAGATGGCTTTTGTCTCTGTCCTGACCCCTTGAGTCATAGGTTGCCACTTTTGTAACTGCAGATAATCATTTCTTTCCAATGTGTTTAGAAGTGGCCAAACAAAGTCACAGGCCTGTGTGAACCTAGAAAATCCATCAGGTTAGTATCGTTAAGGCATGCCAGTTTCTGCAGTTAAAAGCAAACAAAAGACTGATGTTGCCAATATTGCAAGGGGCTGATGTGGCTGCCTTTGACTCCCCAGAGTACACAGGGGACCCATTTACAGGTGGGATGACTGGAGCAACCTTTAGCACAAGTCCAGAACAACTTTCAAACTCATACCTCTGGGCCTGTAGTGAGACACCTTAAGTGTTGTAAGGAATATTAATGTTGGCCTAGAAGCAACCTGCACAAGGATCTTCAATCTGCAACCCACCAGGTTCTGAACACAGTAAACCATGGAGAGCAACTACTTCATGTTGCAACTAAACTTCACTACCCTCTCCTGACCCAGAATCCCAATCTGTCCAAAATGGCTTTCACTGCTTCTATTTGGCACCCGCATCATGCAGCCACCATGTCCCCCACAGGATAATGATTATGTACCACTTTTGGCTTAGCCCATTAAAAAAAAATCCAAGTTGTGATGTTTGGATCCAAATTTCGGTCTAAATTTTCTCCAAAGTAGAGGGCAGGCTCAGATTCAGTGTTCCAGGTTTCAGCTATCCTTGGTATAAATGCATAGAATAAATGCATACAGCGATTCACCTGCCCCCACATAGAATAAACATCCCCACCCCTGTAGAATAAAGATCCAGGAAGAAAGAAACATTTCTGGGTTAGTGAGCATTAATGGTGTTCCAAGATTTTTGTATTTGCAAGTTGCATTCATGATAAGAAGCAGAAGTCATAATGCAAGAACAAATCTACTCTTGTGAAATTCCTAGGCCAAACAAACCTAGAAAACAAAGTCTCCCAATGGACTACTGCTTTGCAAAGTTTACAACCTGATTTCCTGATACAGAAGTAACCTAGCTTTCTGGGATCTTTGTTAGGGTGACAGTATTTGGATCTTGGGGAGCACTGGATTTGCAGCTGAATAAAGGCTGTAAACCTGTGGCCTAGAAGAGCTGCTAACCACAAGGCAGAATAATATATTAAAAGTAACATTGCAAGATGCTTAGGCAAGCATTTTCTTAACAATATAGTAGTCTTGTAAGATATATATCTCATTATGTATCGTTAGGAGGTAGAGCAGATTTTGCTTATGAATGCTTATGCTAAGTCAGCCATTTCCTAATGCTAAGTAACCACCTTAACTGTGAGTTTTTGTGTGTAGGTTTGTGTGCTATGAATGAGGTGAAGTCTTAGGCATGTGGAAGATACTACAATATGAGACTGAAAAAACAGACTGGTATGTGAAAGACAACACATAACTGGTAACAGAATCCAAAATAAACATATGTAAAAAGGTTAATGGGGATTGGTAAAGAGGCCTCCAGAAGCTTCCAAGTTTTGGTCGAAGTCTGCCCAGTGACCAAAGAAGTGGTGTCAAGGTCTTAGACATGCACTCATGGAAAAAAAATAATGTTCATGGTAGCTCTCTGAACATTATTGTTGGAGCTGGCCCAAAGCTGTCTCTATTCTGAATACAGCTGTTGGCTAGCAATGTATGCTAGTGTTTGCTCCCTGAGCAACTGGATCCCGAGCAATCGGATTGTCATCTCCCTAGTTGTTGGGCGCCGCATGGAGTTGGGGTCTAACACCCTTGTCTAAAATACATCTCTAAACCTTTTTCTAAATGAGCTTCCCCAAGAATTAAAAAGGCTTTAGTAGCATTTCTGACTGAAAAAGCACAGCCAAAGAGGATATAAAAAGTTTCCTTTGAATTAACATCTAATATTCTATATAGCATTGTTTATCAGCAATTTCTAAAAGTACTTTATGTTGAAAGATAAAATAAAAGGCATAATGTTTTACAGATTGGATGCAGTGACTCAAAGGAATGAAAATGAACAACTGCAATAAAAGCAAAAACTGTCAATTACATTTTTTCTTTCATAAATCATTTTCCTAGCAGAAAAAAAAATCCCAGCTATGAAGGTAACACTATGGACAAACAGCATAAACAATGCTCTGCTGACTCCTACTATGTCATAAAGATTAATTCATGATGGCACTGGGAGAAGACAGAGTGGTAGTCATTGGCACTTTGTCTACATCAATGATCATCAATGATTGTTGCCATTTCTATTAGTGTCAAAGGGAAAGTTTTCAGAAAATAGGCTAAAATTGTAACGTGAAAGGGAGGCACATAAAATGAAAAAAGACTAAGATGGAAAAGGGTTAGTTCAATAAACAGACTTAAAGTGAAAGAAGTTAGGAAACTGAAAGAGGTATAGTGACCACGGTGTTTTTGAAAAAGACTTTCATCTCTTCCACAGTTACATGGACTGGCACAAGTGACCTGGAATTGTATAGGGATACACAGATAGGAAGGCTAAGGCTGAAAGAATGGATCAAATGGACAAGGAGAGAGAAATATGTGGACTGAGTGCCTCAGAGTACAAGCAAACCTCATAAGACTTCTATAAAGCAAGGAAGTCATTCTTAATTATTTTCATAAACTGGTGGGGAATTTAACAAGGTTGACCATAATTCCTGCAACAAATATCTGAAATTGATATATTTTTAAATGATTATGGCAGAATATTAAATATTTGCTTTGGTTGAAATGCCTTTGCAATATTGCCTATACATTTGATTTTACGTGGTGCGTTGTTGGCTTAACTTATTTAGAGACAGAACTGGGAATTAAGGAGCTCAGCATATTGTAGGATCTGATCTTCTGCATGCTGAAACATTTTTTTTGCATGAAGCTAACTAGTGACAGTAGCTAATTATCAATATCAGGAGATACTTAAGAAAAATATTCAGAGGCACCATGTGTCTATAAATTTGCAGTACTATGTCCACTGGAAATGTTTCCAAAATGGTAATTAAACTCATATCTTGACTTTGCATGCAGTCAAAATATCCAAACAAGCTACTTTAGGAAAACGTATTTTTTCAATACGGTATTGAAGCAGGAGACCTGGGTGTAGGACTCTTTTAAATGGCAGTGAAATCAGGGACACCAGCAGGGGAATAAAAACATTCTTCTCTTCAGGCCTAGTTTGTCTTTCATCTCCCCAAAACTGTCAAAAAGAACACGTTCTGGAAAACTGGGAGGGAGGGAGGGAGGGAAA